TTCTGGGAGGTCAGAGCTGCTCTTGGATCACAGATGGAAGAGAATGAAGTTGGTTCTAGGACCACTTCAAGATCTGCAATGAGAATGAAGTTGGTGAATTTGTCACCAACGCACAGATGAAGGTGTTTCCTGGAAGGTCCCTTGGTAGGCAAGACTATATCCAGACCATAGCTGATAGGAAATGGAGTCAAGTCATTTCTATGGAACCAAGAGCAATAGGCCTGCCTCTTGTCACTACAATAGAGCTTATTGCCTGGAAAATCTCTGTGCAGGCAGGACTGCTCTCAGGCTGAACCTCAGAGTGGCTGGAGCCAGGTCACAGGCCACTTCAGGGTCTGTAGCTGGTGAGTCCAAAATTTGAGGCATTTTGGGTAGGTATGGCTCTACCTTGCTTCTTGGTGAATGGTTCTGGTGGTAGGATCAAAGCCACATGGGCTATAGCCAAGTCCACATGGGAATGGAGCCATTTAAGGATCTCTTGCCAGAACCATGGTCTGTGAGTTTGCTGCCTAGGCATGAGCCTGTCCACTCAATATTTTGAGCTTCATTTTGTTTTGCTCAGCCCTCTTCAGTCTTGTGTTCTCTGTCTGGGCTTTTCAACTTTCCGAGTCCCAAAGCCTCCATAAAGGCACTTTTGTTCATTGATGACTTCCAAATTCTTAATGCTGTCAGAGAATATGAATGGGGAGAGGGCTCTTATGCCACCATGTTGCTTTCTTTGTTTATCTTAAATAGAAACTTAATGAGGAGGAAATTAAGCAACATTTCCAAGGCTCTATAGCTAGTAAAGAGCATAGGGCTCAGGCCACAGTCTTCTGATTGAGCTCAAGTAGCCAAGTGACACAATACAATCCATTCTTTTAAGTATTTCCAGTGAATTCCATCTCTCAAGTATGAATGCATCAAGAATGCCTTAGTAACTGTTATGGTTTGGGTCTGGAATCTTCTCTGAAAAACTCATGTTTTCAAAGTATGATTCCCAATGCAGCAAGGTTCAGAGGTGGGTTTTTCCAGCAGTGATTAGTGCTATAACCTCATCAGTGGATTAATCCATTTGATGGGTAAATAATTTGAATGGATTCTTGAGTGGTAACTAGGGAGGAGGTTTGGCTGGCAGAAGTAGGTCACTAGGGGCATGCCATTGGGCATAAAATTTTGTCCCTGGATTCTTTCTTTCTCACTCTTTCTCCTCCCTATCTCTCCTCCACCTCCTCCTTTTCTTCTTCTTTTTTCTTTTCCCCCCTCTTCCTCCTCCTCTCCTTCTTCCTATTCTTCTTCCTCTCCCTCCTTCTTCTCCTCCTCTTTCTTCTTTTTCTTCTTTCTTTCTCTCTCTCTCTCTCTCTCCCCCCTTTCTGGTGGCCATCAATATGCCCTTCCACCATGATGTTCTGCTTTGAAGCCATCTGACCATGGACTGGACCTCTGAAACTGTGAGTACAAAATAAATCTTTCTTCCTGTAATTGTTCTTGTCAGGTATTTTGGACACAAAGATGAAAAGCTGACGCACAAACTATCCCTAGAACAAGATCTCTTCAGGAAATACACCAGTCAACTTAAGAAGGTTTTGTTTTATTCTTGCTCAGGATATTTAGTAAGCAAATACATCTTTGTGCATTTAGGGGCAAACTAGCAAACAGCACTAAAAAGAGGAGGGAAGTTTGCTTTTCTTGCTTCCTTTCCCTATTTATACATTGTATTTTGGATATCCTTCTTTTCTTCTTTTTTTTTGTATACAACCAACACAATCATGATTAGGGAGATTTTTTTTAAATTTTTTTTTTTTTTTTTTTGCCAAATATGTGAAGTATTTTCCACTCCTGAGGTAACTGAAATATTGGTTGTGAAAAACAATTCATTAGTTTTTCATTTTTGGTTGTGTTTTCTATGTGGGTCAAGATGGAGATGGTATATCATTCACCGATTGAATTAGGCTTAGATACAGATATTAATTCATAAAACATTTGAAATTATCACAACATATTTTGCTGTCCTTCATCTACACTTCTTGGAAGCCCAAGGCACCAGGGGCATTCAAGACTTAGATAATATAGACCAGGAGTCCTTGGACTTCCAAACCTACATTTTAACCAGATTTATAAATGAGCAAATTTAAAACTCTAGAGTTACTTAAAATGTGTTATGGATTTGTTCTGGAATCTATGCTTTGTTGCATTACATATTAATGATATTGAAAGGTATTAGATTTCCAAGATCATGATGATTAGTAGATGTGAAACAATGTTGTTTTTTTTTCAGAAAGTATCTATGCATTATTAAAAACCTAAATTATTCAGTAGGCAAAATTCCTTAATAGTGTAAACTAACATATGCATGGTGGTATTTTAATTCTAGGAACTTGTTCAGAAATAAATAATAAAATATAGAATGTTTCCTTTCTTTTCAAACATGCTGGCAGGATGAGTCTTTTACCACCATACACATGCCACTCCATTATACTCTCTTCTCACACCCAGTATTCATGTTCATACTACATACCATCTACACACTATGCTATACACATATACACCAAACCTTATATATATTCCTCTCTCTGCCAATCACACTCTATACATACATGCCATACCATATCACATACACCATCACATACATACATATACTGTTATGTCAAATGCATACATGTAACACACGAACTATAGCATATCACACATATACACAAACTATTTATGTATACATGTGAAAGAAATACAAGACTTAACCATGTATGTAATATACATTCCATACCACACACACATACTTTCTCTTATACCAAGCACACACAAACACAGTTGGGCCATCTGCTATATTCCTGATCTTGATTCCAATCCTCTTTCCCTTTCTCATTGTATCTTTTTAAATTTAGTTGTATCTTTTTCCTTGTCAGATCTTGAACACATCAAACATACTCCTCCTTGGGGCTCTTGCATTTGTAGTCCTCTCTGTCAGAACTTCTCTTTCCCTGGATATGTAATCGGAAAGCTCCATTTCCTTTAAGAAATCCCTTTTCTTATTTTTCCCCTCTGCCAATCTAGAATAGCCCTAAGATAGCTCAGTCTCTGTGACAGCCTGCTCCTGCCTCTCATTCTTCTGACCTACACTCTGAAAATCAAGCATAAGATGTAAATCATTCTTAGAAATCACCTAATCTAGTCTAAATCCTCATATTGCTGTGAGTTGGGAGTCTCAAAAGAAGTATCTTGCCCAAGGTTATAGAAATCACTATTTATCCACTGTGACACACAAATCATATTTAATAGGTATCTATAATATGTTAGATATTATTCTAGATACCAGGTATCAGAGGGGAACAATAAGGGCAAGAGCTTCAAATCCATGAAATTTACATTCTATTCAGGTAGAATCTGACAAAAATAAATATATAGTGCAATTTGAAACAATGATTGATGATATAAAACAAAACAAACAAAAAGTCCAGGGAGGAAAAAAGAGGCAGAAATAAGAAGCCAGGAATGATTGCAAAAACACTATCCCAAAAGAACGTGGAGAAACAGGTTGTTGGAAATCTCCCGATATTAAAATATTGTTTATTCAAGATGGTAGCCAAGTGTCAGGCTGGCATGTGAATGCAGAAGATTTAGCAAGGGAGTCATTCGGACTTGAAAAGAAGGCAGTTTCTGAGTCCAGGCTCAAGGCAAAAATGGTGTAAAAGGCCCATATGTGTTGTGATGACTCTGTGGTAGGAATAACTGTAGTGAAGATAATGGTAAATATGAACCCAAATTCACTCAAAGCATTGTGCACAATGAACCATCAGAAAGCTTGGGTACTCTTGTTTATGTCAGTTACTGATGGTGACTAATGAAAACTTAAAATCCAGAAACATACAGTTTCCTCAGAGAAAGTAATGAGCAACCTAAAAATGGGAGCCAGGTTACTGAAAGAAAGTCAAAAGTGGTTACAAACTAGACAAGACGAAAATCAGACTTCCTACCTAAGAACGTCCCAATCTCTACTTATTCTGGAAAGATAAAAGTCCACTGGTGCCATCATTAGATGAGGCCAAGGAATAAAAGCTGAGAAAGTCAGACTAGAGCTGAGAAAAAAAGAAACGGGGTGTGTGTGGGGGGAGTTAGGATTGTAGCTCACCTACCATGTATGAGGCACTGGGTTCCATCCTCAGCACCAACATAAAAGTAATTAAATTAAATAAAAGTATCTTGTCCATCTACAACTAATAAAAAAATATAACCTGAGAAGCACCATTTCCTGGGAAAACAACCTTTCAGGATCTCAAAACCCTCTCTATCTTCTCGTGCTGGAGTCACCAAATGGAGATGTCTGGGTATGTGGGTGTGAAAGATAAAAGAGCAGACATGTTCTGGAGTC